TTAAATTTATGATACATATTTTTAACTTTCAAAATTATTAAGTAACTTCAAGAATATCAAGTCATACGGTTTATTTTGTCTTCTTATATCATAAAATATACTTTTAAACTTTCATGGAATTTAATTTTAATTTTTACTTAAAATTTTAAGTTTTCCACTTAAATTTTCTGCTTAAAATAAGGGAGAATTGGAAAAATGAGACACTTTGAACTTTTATTTGTCCATATAGGACTTCTCATACTTTTGGCAATTTTGGACATGTTTTACCCTTTATTAATGAAAAAAATAGTAAACTAATTTTTAAAAATATAAAAAAAATATGAGAATGCTAGAAAACATAAGTATGACAACATATATGTTTAAGTTTTTATTTTTTTTTTAAATGGAATCATATTTTATTTTATCTTCTAGCTACAGATAGAATACTCATTCTAGTTATCTACTCAGTTTAGAAATCATATACTGGGTGTTCTTGGTAGATAGATCCGAGGTATGAAACGTAATATAACATTTCTTGTCTATTCTAACCAAGGTAGTATTGGTAATGTTATAATCAAAGCATATGTTTTGGTGTACGTGAAGCTAGATACCAATTTATAACCATAACTTATTGTCATACCTTGTCCAGATTTTGTGCCATAACCAATTATGCATGTTACCTTATGTGACGCTTGATAAATAATACGTTTCCCACCTTTTCTACTGTGTTCGGCCTTAGGTAGTATACATATTCTAGGTAATCTGCAAAATATGAAAACTTCCATATTCGGTTGAAGATGTTTCTTAAATATCTTATAGAATATTTTGGCCACGATTTTCTCTCTTCCTCACGATCTCCTTCTCTGTTTTCTCTGTGTGGTCTACCTTCTTCATCAAAAAGCTTCATCTTTTCTTCTTATCAATACAAGATGGTTCTAACCTATGTTAAATCCGGTGAATGGATGTCTAGTTGCAATGACGAGTGGAGTTTCGTGGCAGACAAAAAATGGCGTGGTCGAATGGTAACATTGGAAACTATTACTCTTTTGGAGGAGCTCAAGATGACGGTGTGTGAGGATTACGGGATGGAACATAATGCGGCTAACGTCGAGTTCAGTTATGAGATGGTAAATCAAAGAGGGAATCCTCCCATTATTATTAGCAACGATCGACAAGTATCTAATTTTGTGGGCTATGTGAAAAAGGATTCATCTACAACCTTGTGTGTGACGTTCTCTGTTACTGGTGTAAATCAAAAGGAACGAGTCAATATCCACTTGAATGAGAAGCCGTGTGATTCAAGCAATGTTGACGAAAAGGAAATTCCAGAAAAAAATCGAGCAGCCTTTGTTAACCCGTCAAAAGAGTCTTCTGATACAACGAAGGATCTTGTCCCTGCGGATGGAGATAGTGAAAAGGATGCTCGATCTTGGAGAGGAGATTTCGTGACAAAGGATCAAATTTTCAGAAGCAAAGCGGTCTTGAAGGCATGATATATCATGGATTTTACCCATTTTCAGCCATGATTTATATATGTTTTTGGAAACAAAAGGATACTTTTAGTGTCTTTTTAGAGCTTTTACAGGTTCAGGTACTCACTAGTGTAAAACATGCATTTTGGAGCTAAAATGGATACTTTATGAAGATATGAACAAAACGATGTATAAGCTATCGACTGATGCACATTAAGAGCCATCGACCGATAGAAGATTACCTGTGTCGATCGATATATGTCATTTGACATCGATCGATACATAAGTTATCCAAGCGATTAAATGAAGATTAGAAGCCCTAATTGCTTCACAAGAGTTTTAATAATTTACACACTAAGTCCCTGGCCACCTGTTAGGCTATATTAAGAGGGTTTTGTACTAGTTTAGGTAGACAATCTTGGAGACCTTTTAGACCTAATAAGGAGAAGCATCTAGCTATCTTTTGAGAAGAGTTTTGATGGAGAGAGAGAGATCTGAAACTACAATTACAGAGAAGATCTTGAACTCCCTTTTTACTTATTGTTTGTTTTTATTATTATCTTAAAGTATTATTCAGACCATCATGACTTTGTCTCTCATGAATAAGTTTGAGTAGTCTTTCTTGTTAGATTTAGGTTTCTCATTAAGGTTGACTCATGCATTGAATAGAACCAGTATTAGGGTGTTTAAAATATAGTTCTCAATCTAGTTATCAATGAATGCTAAGGCCAGGGATTGATCACCCTTACCTCTGATATTAGGGTCAATTTGGACAAGCGATAGCTTGGCAAATCCCCTAAGTCTAAGTTAATTTAATGAAGACTAGATACCCCATTCAAACATACCTCTACCACTCGCTGGATGCAATATCGATCGACGTGGCGACAGCCGTGTCGACCGATATAGCGGCATTAGCATCGATCGATAGTCTCGACAGAAACATTGATCGATATTCCCCATAGGTTATCGGACGATAGTCAAAATCCGAGATCCAGTGGAGTTAATCCTTAAGCTCCTTAAAAGTTTGAATCTAGAACTATGAATAATAAAAATCCTTTACAACTTGCATGTGTGTCATACCTGAGAAAATACCTAAGTTTAACTACCTTCTTTCTTCTTAACAAACCAACCAATCAATCAAGCAATTATTTGCTACCTTTTAAGTTACTGTTTAAAACCTTACTGTCTAGCTTTATTTCGAAGGCTTAATAATCTGTTGTGTAATTCTAGAGTCTCTGTGGATTTGATCCCTAAGTACTACGACTGAACCTCTTATTTGAGAGAGTAGTTCACTCCTTAGGGTTAAACATTTGAGTGATATCAAGGCAACAATTGAAATTTTTGCGATGAAGAATAATTTTGATTACACAGTACTCAAATCGACAAGGAAATGGTGGTATATTCGATGTAAGGATACATTGTGCAACTGGTCGGTGCGTGCAGAATGTATGGATGGGTCTACCTATTTCATGATCAACAAGTGCGAGGGAAGACATTCATGTTCTCCTTCGAAGAAAAGCAAATTTGGAAAAACAGCATCGGCAAGAACAATTGGGACTCTGATACAACATCGGTTTGATGATGCCATCGATGGCCCAAAAGCGAATGAGATCATTCAATTTATGAGACTGGAGTATAGCTGCGAGATTACTTATGGACACGCTTCGGAAAGTCGTGAGTTTGCGATTGCAGCTACTAGAGGTATACCAGATCATAGTTATGCTAAAATACCAAAATATTTGCATATGATCAAAGAAGCTAATCCTGGTACACATACTCACTATGAGACTAAGGAGAATGGGAGATTCAAGTATCTATTTATGTCGTTTGGGCAATCAGTTAGAGGATTTTACAATGCAATGCGAAGGGTGATTGTTGTTGATGGAACTTTTCTAAAAAATAAATACAAAGGAGTTCTACTTGTTGCTACTGCTGTTGATGGTAACTCTAATTTGTATCTGATTGCTTTTGGAGTGGTAGATTCAGAGAATGACGATTCATGGGGGTGGTTCTTCAGACAGTTGAAAGTGGTTATTGCTGATTTTCAAGACTTAGCCTTTATCTCTGATAGGAATTCGTCAATCAGCAAAGCGGCTGGGACTGTCTACCCTCAATCATCACATGGAATTTGCATTCACCATTTGTTGAACAACGTGGTTTCATTCTTCAAGACAAAAGGGTTTTCCGCCTTGGTCGAAAAAGCTTCATGGGCATATAGGTGCACTGAATTCCAGGCACGCATTACCTAAATTTTTGATATGAGTCCTGACCTTGGAAGATATCTACGTGAGGCTGATGTGCGAAAATGGGCTCGTTCTCTCTTCCCTGGATCCAGGTATGACATTAGGACCACAAACGCTGCAGAGTCGATTAATTCAGTTCTGAGAACACCTAGAGAATATCCGGTAATTCCTTTGCTAGATAGTATAAGAGAACTGTTGACTCAATGGTTCTATGAGCGTCGCCTTTTAAGCTCGAAGCAACTCGATCCTTTAACAGTTAAGGTGGAGAAAAAGATTGCTAGGAGAATTGTGAAGGCAAAAGGATTTCAGGTTTACAACATAGACAACTTCAGATCGCTTGTGAAAGGTGACACTTATGATTGTCATGTTGATTTGGAAAGGAAAACATGCACATGCCGGAAGTTTGATATAGGAAAAATACCTTGCCGACATGCCATTCCTGCAATTTATTCACGACGTATGGAAGTTCACACATTTACTGAAGATGTATATACCACTGCAACATGTAGAACTGCCTTTGCGGAAAGCATTAATCCTATAGCAGTTCCACAGTCCGAGTGGAAAGTCCCAGCTGAGGTTAACCTTGCAAAGGTATTACCACCAGATACAAGAAAGAGTGCTGGTCGACCAGTAAAGAGAAGGTATGAATCAGTAGAAGACAAGATAAAATCTTCTCAAGGATCAAAGAAGAATAAAAAGCACAAGTGCAGCCGTTGTGGTACCAGAGGACACAAGAGAGGAACATGCGATGTACCCATTTAGTGTTTGTTATTTGTGTTCTTTTGTCTCTCAGATTTTTGTTCTTCTTATTTCCCTTGAAACAAATCGATCTTCTGTTTTATTTCTCTTCGATCTTCTGTTTTATTTCTCTTGCAACAAAATTGATTCATGTTAATGACTATATTTATCTTTGAATCAGTTTTGATCCTCGGGTGTGTTGAATCATGAGTCACCTTGTCACATAAATTTAATAAAAAAACATAAAACTGAAGTTGTCATTTGTTTCATAAATAACCAAAGCTAGAGTTATGTTACATACACTGAAGTTGTCATTTGTTTCATAATCAGTCATCTTCTGACAGGTCATAGACCCCAGGCTTATCCCATGGTGAAGGCAAATATTGAGTCATAACATGAGCTAATATGGGATCGTGTGAAGCCTCCCATAAGTCCACAGCAATCTTCTGTCTGCAGCCCTGGATGATTTCGTCATCTACTAAACCGAGGTCGAGACCAAGGAGATAGCATTGCAAGTGTTTGAGTGCGTATGCTCCACAATCATCACAACTCTTGTTCAACCTCGCCTTCATCGGTACATCTACTATAGAATATGGTGATACGAGTAGCTGCTTCTTGCTTTCGGATGGTGCAACGGCCTTCACTATCCGCGGAATCAAAGCCGTAAACTTCTCAACGTATTGCCTATTCCTTCCTCTATTGCAATCAAAGACTTCCACTTTTCTCTCAATGATGTTGACGCAGACAGCAATCCAGTGATTACCTGCGTTGGATTTATACTAAATTGGTAAGTGAAGAAACTAATTTTGAGACATGAAGAGGAACCGGCGATTACCATTTACAAACTAAGGAAAATAGAGACGATCAACATCGACACCCCAGACTTGATCAGTCCGCCCATGAGCTGGAAGCTCTCCTCTGCCGTAAGAAATAAGAAACTCATGCAATTCATAAGCTTTTTTTGTTCGGGACAAACTTGTTGAATTCAGTGTCCATTTGGAGGCAGAAGATGGAGGGCATGAAAGCAACACGGGTTGGGGTCCAACACTTGAAAGATGTGTTCACTCGCCATATAAATATAATTGAATCCATTTCCTGAATATTCACGAGGACAGAACACCATTGAAGCATCAAAGATGTGTTACAAAGGTATATTCACCACAAATACACTAGTATAAGAAATCATTACCTCATTGCCAAGCCATTCTGGAGAACATATTATCCTTGTAGCTACAGCCAAATTGAAGAATGAAGGACCAATCTTTACAGCTATTGGGTTCATACACCATTCCATGAATCCTATCCATGATTCTTCGGACAAATAACAAAGTGACGACTGCGGAGAACCGTCGGGCAATGGGTTATCGAGAAGCTGGGGTGTACTGCCTTTGCCTTTCCATTTCTTCCATTGCGACGGAGGTGGAGCTAAATTACCTTTGCTTTGTTTAGCTTTTGAACCTCTGACTGAAGTCATCCAAGTCCACCAGTCATCTTCTTTAGAGGGCTGAGATGGATCAAAACCCTGCACATACGAGGGCTGAGACAGCCTTTCAACGCCTTGCGTACCCATCTCTCGGAAGATATCATCTGCTTCACTGAAATTCCCATCGGCTGGACTATGAGACGCTTCCTGTAATGGGAAACTAAATGATCAATTAAAATCATAATATTAAGCACAAGAAAATTTGTGAAAATACAATCAAAATTTCACACTGCAAGATGTCTAGTCATTACTGAAATATCTTAGCAAAGTTCACAACCATACATAAGTTTAAAACAAAACACATACAAACCAATGAAAAGTACACACAAAGACCTTATAAAACACAACAAAAGGCAGGCCGATATCATAGATGACACTAACATAAACAGGCACACAAAGATAGAAGACTAGTGTTTCTTTACCCAGCGAGTGGACCTCCTCAACTCTGGCTGGCTCGTCGATGGATTCGTCGGTGTAGGCTGTCCATCGTTCCCGAAATCTTTGAGCTCAACTCTATCATCCTTGCGCGATCCTTTCAGCTCGGACTGCAGTGTCTCAAATTTCTCATCCATCTGTTTCTGTAGCCTAAGTTCCATTGCATTGAAATTCTGCTCAAATAACTCTTTCACCCAAGCCTTCATGTCATCATTAAGAACTGGTTGCTTAGGTTCAGTAGATAGAACCTTATGTTTCCTTTTTTCCATACCATGATCTGGGAGCCTCTTCTTACTCTTTTTTGATGAAACGCCTACACTAGTTGATCCATTTGGAGTGTGAAAGTCTTCATCACTCTCTGCTGCTCCAGCATTCACAGCTGCTTCATCATCCAGATCCAGAGAAACCTCTGCAGTTTCTTCGAAAGCCCAAACATGGTCACTGAAGTCATGCTTACTCCTTATCAACTCCATCAGCTCCTTGACTATATCATCATTCACATCTTCTCAGTGAAAACAACTTGCGACTACAACCATATTCCCTCTCCATGAGATGTATGGATAGGTGACATCCTACACAAGAAAGGTAAAAAAAGTTAGAACCTCAAAAATAATTTTAACTCGAATTATTAATCTTAAAAATCGAAAATTACCTCAGCAGTAAATATGTTCTCCAAGCGGTTGATCTCCTCATATGACACCTTTGCAGCACTCCTTCAGTTTATGCACATAGGATCGTCCTTAAAATCTTTGTTCAGTTTCTTTCCACAAAGCTTCCCAAGCTTTGGTACAGCTTCCATTGCCCAAATCTGCAAGGCGTAGGAGAAACAATCTAACACATAACTAGTAGTTTTATCCTTGAGCTTGTCACGATTCGTAGCTATTGATTCGAAGAGAAGATCATAAGCAGCAACTCCCCAAGGATACTTTCGAACCTTCTCAAGATCCATGACCACCTTTACCCATTTGAGTGGGATATTAGCTTTCTCATCTCTCGCTAAAACCACACAAAGAATGAAGGACAGGTAGATCAGTCGAATGCGATCTGCATTTTTCCACTTCATAACCGCTGACTTGTGGTTATTCCACAGCTTGAACAGTGTCTGTTTCCCATCTTTTCTCTTCAGCACCCTGCTCCAGAAACCGTCATCATCTTCCCATTCGTGAAACTCCTCAAGTGAGATACCAGTATTGCACTCAAACCCGGTTACTGCGTGGAACTCTTGAAGTAAAAATCGAAGTGGTCTCCTCAAAAAAGGCAAACCAAAGCTCGTGATGTTTGTAAGTAACAAGCTCCCTACACAACATGCTGTGTATCACTCTCGCAGAGTATCCAAGACCATTCTCTTGTAGCTTGAAAATCTGATAAAAAGTCGGATCTTTCTTCAGAACATCCAACTCCCTTGGCAACCACGCTTCAAACTTTTTTAGAATGTAGTCGATCCTGCAGTTGTTATTTATCTGAGTCACTTGGGTCTCCTCGCCCTCTTTAAAAAGTCTCTTTGGTAACTCCTCAGCCATACCTACTAGCCATGAAAAAAATAGTTAGTTGCAAGATCAAACAAGAACTCATTGATTTCAAACATAATTGAACTACATTACAATCAAAGAACAACTAAAAAATAGACAGATCTAAGAACAATTCAAAGGTTTGTGTAAGCGTAATACGGTTCATTGGTTACAACAGAAACAACATTTTAGAAAAAGACTATGTGTTCCTTTTACACAATCGGACAACAACTACTATCACATTTCAAGACCCGAATTTCATGACCAATCGATTTGTTATATACAAACATTCACACTCGGACAACAACTAGTAACAACTAATCTACATGCAAACATACACAATCGGACAACAACTAGTATCATATATCATGACCAATCGATTTGAAAAAAAAAATCACGGTTTAAGATAAGGGAAAAGTTAAGGCATAAGATAATTCATGGTTAAACACAATACCTAGTGTTAAGAACCGTGAGTTATTAACGAAATTGCTGGAAGAACCTTTTGATTTGGAATTGGCCCGAGTTCAAATCGATGGTGAGAAAGAAGAGTTGGATTTCGGTGGAGAAGAGATGGATAGAAGAGATGGATTTCGGTAGAGAAGAGATGGGTAGATGAAGATGACTTTATTTAGAAGAGAAGGAGAAGGATGGATGGAGAAGACCAAAAAATCGACATGGGAGAGGGAAGAAGGTCGACGGCGGAGGAGAAAGAGGTGAAAAGGATTTAGGGTTTTTTTCCTTTTTTTTAATATTTACTTGAGTATTAAATTTAATACATAAATAATAATTTAATATTTTAAGAACAATTAAATTTGATCAATTTTAAGGGTATAATAGTATTTACAAAAATTAAAATCTTATTTTCCCAAACATATTTATAAAAGTCATAGAGGGACAAATCTAAGTTCAAAGTGTCCTAAATTTGCAATTTTCCCAAATATTTATCCCTATAGTATAAACAATAATGAAAATCCAGTTTAGTCCTTCCTAATTAACTTTACATTACAATTAACATTGGTTTTAAAATAATGTTAATACTCTAATTTTATTGATATAAAATAAAAGGGAAATTGATAAAACAGTGAACAAAAAAATAAACTAACCCTAACTCTCTCCATCTCTTGTTTTCTCCGCCAAGGGCCAGATATCAATGTTGTGTTTTCATGCATAACTACAGCAAGGTTTCATGGCAGAGCTACAGTCATAACTTGGGTAAATGGCTATCTTAGCGTTTTCTGATTGCTCACATGGTTGCAACCCCGAGGGAAGAAGAAGAACTAACAAGAATGAGGTACGAGAAATAAAAAAATAAAAAATGTAATCTTGCTTTTTGTTCAGATTTATTGATGTAAATTTATCTTTTTTGTAGATATGCTTATTCATGGTGGAAGGAGAAAGACATAAACTCTGAGGAGAAGAGGAAAGAAGGCCTTTGAACCGTGGTCGAAAGATCTCTCATTTCGTCTCGATCCGTTTTACCAATCGAGTTTTACGGTAAAAATCGTAAAATCTCGTTGTCTCGTAAAAACTCGAGTAAATCGTATAAAACTGCAACGATTGGACGAAACATCGTGTATTGTCCAGACTACGTAATTAACTTGAGTCTATTGCGAGAACGTTGCTGAATTAGGAAACAGTCTCGTCAAAGAATCGTTAAACGACTTTTACCGCAAAACGGTCCTGAAAGCCCTAAATCGCGATTAAAAGTCCATCTAGTGTTTACGAAAAATCCAACCCAAGGACACAATGAAGGTTTAAGCATTTACTCGTAAATACAAAATAAATGTCAAGTCTGAAGATAAATAGAAGATTTCCAAAGATTTATGGAAGATTTCCGAGAATAAATGGAAATATCGAGATAAATGGAAGATTTCCGATAAACTCGAATCAGGGCGAAAAAGGAAGGATAAACCGCCTAAGAGAGGAGTATATAAGCAGGAGGCCAAGGGAAGAGGAGGTCACACGAGTTTTCAGAGCTTTCACCACCAAATTTAGCATTTAGGAATACTTCCGTTTTTGTTATCGAGTGATATACCATGATTTTGACCCACTTTTGGTCATGGTATTTCTATGATTTTATTATATAAACCTATGTTTTGGAGCCTATAGGTATGTTTGTGGGAACCGAAATCCACACCGTCGATTTTCCGTCAATTTATGGAAACTTAGGGAAAAACCCTAATTTTCCCGAGGTCCTGGATCTCTGCAGAAATCTCTAAAACAAACGAGTTTAAAGGAATATGAATGAACAACAAAGAATAAAGAGATAAGAAATCGTAAGAAAGCTTTTATTGAATAAGAATCGACAACTGTTACAAGTAGAATTGAAGAACTTAGACGTGAAAACGTTCTAAGGATCTGAAGTGCTAGTCTAAACGCTAAGTCCTAAAATCTAAGCTAGCAGCCGTCTCTTC